GCCCCCCGCAGACGCCGGCCCCCGCAGGCACTTCGTGTCCTCACCTGCTCGCCAGCAGCACGTCCTGGGGCCGAGACACGGGCCCAGGGCCCGCGAGCCCGGTGCCTCAGGCGCCTGCTCAGGCTGCCGCCCTGGCCCCGGGGGGGCTCGGGGGACACCTCCGACCTAGCTGGTGTCCTGCAGGGTGAGCTGCGCTGGGGCGGGGTCACACTGCACCTGCACCCCGAGTCCCAACCCGCAAAGGCTGAGTCCCTGGGTGCCGCGCGGGGCGGCACCGGGCGCGGGCAGCTGACCTTGAGGCGCAGGGGCAGGTCCTCGGGGCTCTTCCCGGAGAGCTCGTCGTCGTCGTCATCCTGCAGGAACAGGTTGGCGGGGATGATGCCCTTGGCGTACTTCTTGGTGAGCTCCACGAAGTCGTCCAGCGCGATGTAGCTCTTGGCTGGAGCGAGGGGGGGCGCAGTCGGCTCCCTGGCCCCCACCCCACCCATTCTGGGGCCGGGACCACCCAGGGATGCGCTCCCTCCCAGACATGCCGTGCCACCCCCCACTCCGGTCCCCAAGCCTGGGTGCACTCAGATGCCCCTCAGACCCCAGCCGACACTCTGGGGGCCCTGGCTGCCCCGCCCAGGCCTGCCCCCTGCTGCCCAGGCCTGCCCCCCTGCTATACAGGCCTGCCCCTGCTGCCCAGGCCTGCCCCCCTGCTATACAGGCCTGCCCCCCTGCTGCCCAGGCCTGCCCCCCTGCTGCCCAGGCCTGCCCCCCTGCTGCCCAGGCCTGTCCTCTGCTGCCCAGGCCTGTCCCCTGCTGCCCAGGCCTGTCCCCTGCTGCCCTAGCCTGTCCTCTGCTGTCCAGGCCTGCCCCCTGCTGCCCAGGCCTGTCCCCTGCTGCCCTAGCCTGTCCTCTGCTGTCCAGGCCTGCCCCCTGCTGCCCAGGCCTGTCCTCTGCTGTCCAGGCCTGCCCCCTGCTGCCCAGGCCTGTCCCCTGCTGCCCTAGCCTGTCC